TTATATAAATTTCTGGTGCACACATGCAATTGGAAAGATAACACAAGAACCCGTACTTCCTCTTATAATTGTGAGGAGAGATTTAAAAGTTCCAGACTAGAAGGCCTCAGGAAAGTGCCCTGTCAGCCTCAGCAATGGCATATGGCATCTGCTCAGCCAGATTTCTAGCAGTTTCTTGATTACAGCAGTTCTAACAATTATGTTATCATGCTGAATTAAGGAAATGCATACCTTCATAGTATAAAAATACAAAAAGTACATTGAAAGCCAGTAACGATTCTCAAGCTTCCCTAAATTAAGAAACAACTACTAGCTAGGCAGGCTTAATTCATGCTCCTACTACCTTTTCGCCTGCATATCTCAAATAAAGCTGCAGCCAGATCTTATGGCCTCTACCCAAAACACATTTAATTCAGGGGGAATCTTTTCAAGATACTCATTACATTAAAATCCGGCAAATCTCTCCTGAGCATGAGTAAATTTTAACTTTTCAGTGACCTGTGACAAGGTCAGGTTTTCAGAAGGCCAGGGGATCAGCCCGAAGGGTCTGCTCCAAAGCAGAGAACCCAGCGCTGCCAAATGAAGCGCACAGAAATGGCTGATTGTTTTTTAGCAGCGACAAAATAACCCATTTCCCCTAACCGCATTTGGATAAATGGGGAAGTTTTTAAGCAGCGGTAGTTCAAATAGATAAGTCCGTCTCAGACGGATAAAGCAGCAACAGCCCAAATGGGTAAGGCTAAGAAAAGTTAAAAGCAAAGCCAAGTTGAAAACAGCCTCTTAATGGAAGTTCTGCATGACCTATGCTTTGCTCGGCTCTCTTCAGGGCAGGGACTGGGTGATTTGTCTCTGCCTTCGTAAAGTGATGAGTGTACCTCAGCGCTTCATCCTAGGCAATAACAACCGTATAAATGGAAGAAGAGAGAGCTACAGAAAACTGAATTGTATTTCATCCAGGCTGCTTCCCGCTAGCTAATCATCACTGCTACTTAATTCCCCTCATAACCTACACATTAACGTAAAAAAACACGGCGGTACAGTGGCTTGCCTTGCTACGTCTTGCTTTTTTTTCCTCATTCATATTAAAATGAATCACAATACATAAATCATCTTGCTTAAAAGCAATTTTGTATTGGAGGGGGGGAAGGGGTTGTTTTGGTTTTAATTACTTTTTATTTCTTTGACACATCAAGTCTAAAGACTGTGTTACATGAGTGTTAGTAATTTCTTTACTTCAGTAGAAATTTTGGATAGAATCAAAAAAATGCATCTTTCATCCCAACAAATCAAACCTAATACAAAATACCTCAATTTATTTAAACTTTTACTGTAAATGTTGCAGAGAAATTTTCTGAAGTTTATACATTTTGTGTTTGTCTCTTAGTCAAATTAACAAGGAATGCAATCTCAGGTGACACACACACAAAAAAAAAAAAAAGGTACATTTTTTTTTCATTTCTGACCAAGTATAACTTCTAACTCAAGTATTAACCCAAGTCAGTCAAAATCAGTTCTTTGTTATAAGAACATAAGCCTGGTCTGAGAATATACCTCTCACATGGGTATTAGAACCAATCTGGATGGACACAATCGCACACATTACACTCCAAACTCCAAGGCTACATGACAGACATTTATATGCTAGTCTGCAAGGCTACATGATTTCAAAACTTGAAATTTTTTCATATGAATTGGATCCCTTGAGGCTTAAGCGTAGTTTACCTTTGGTTTATGTAACACTGTGCAGCAGTCACACAGTAATTTAGAGATGCAATTTATTTCTCTATTGTATGGAAGATACAGGCTACATTACAAATTGCAAAGGCTGCTTTATTAAGTGACAGCCAAAGCTGAGCAAATAATTCACCTCGGATAATTTATACACTTTATTTTTATTTCAAGAATGTCTGTGAGGAGATTACAGTCACTCTGACGTATCTGTTAACTGAAATTACCCTACAGAATTCCTCACGTGGTTAGCTGTTACATGCCAGATGTTCAGAGCTGTGCTTCATTGTGACTGGCAAACAAAACTTATGGAATTGGCTGTTCTGGCTGAATGATCACCAACAATCATGTTTCTTGTACAATGCAGAATTTATTTTTTTTCCTTGAGTGCTCGTTTTATCTGGTGTGCTTTTATCAAATGCTTGGCAAGTTTAGCTGAACATAAAATTTAAAAAAAATAAATAAAAATCATTGCTGTTCTACTGATAAGAAAACTGTGACTGAACAGAGGTTAGGCAGGAAATCTTGGCCTATCTCCTGCAGCATCCTCACTAATGTGGTTCTTACATTATGCGATTCTAAAGGAGAAAACTACTGATTCAGAATAGGGAACAACTTTGGTTAACTACATTATTTCTTATCTGGATGGAAAAATCTCCAATGGATGGCTTCACAACCTGTGTGCGTGCCCACGTGAGTGAAGGGAAAAAACCTTCCTTAGTCCAGAAAAAAATGAAACGCAAAAATTGATGTACATTTATCCAAAACAAAATCTTGCCAAACCACACTGAACCCACTTCATTTTGCTTTCATTTCTGACTACTAGATTTACACAGAAAATGACAGAGCAACAACTTCCATGGGAGCCAGAGAACCGACTCCAAATTTCCAGTAAAAGGTGCGGAGAGAAAATGATCAGTTGCTACTGTCCCAAGAGAAAAACAACATAAAATATTTCTATTCACTCAAATACCAAGGGATCGGCCTCATTTATCTGTAGCCATCAGCAGCTGCAGATTAGCAGTTCAGGTTTCCTTAACGTTGATTTTTCAAGGAATCTGGGCTGAATGTTTTCTAAAGTGAACATTATGATAAAACATGGAAAGTACTGTTAAAGATAAGGAGGAAACATATCTTTTAAAGGCATTTTGAAAACTCTACTTCAATATTTTTTTACTCACGCTGATTAAATGGAACAGCAAGTTTTTCCTGAGCTTTTCTCCCTGTGATGGACACAGGAGGAGGCATTGTGGGTTACAAAATGACCCAAACTGAGAGGTTTTACTTTGTTCTACATTTGCCATATTAATTCATGGCAAATCAGTACATTAAAAGGTAGTAAGCTTTTGATGTCCAACTTAGAAAATCATAGAATCACTAAATGGTTTGGACCAGAAGAGACCTTAAAGACCATCTGACTCCAACTCCCTGCCATGGGCAGGGACACCTAACACCACACCAGGCTGCCCAAAGCCCCATCCAGTCTGGCCTTGAGCACCTCCAGGGATTGGGCATCCACAGCTTCTCTGGGCAGCCTGTGCCAGGGCCTCACCACCCTCTGAGTGAAGAATTTCTTCCTTACATCTAATCTAAACCTACCCTCTCTTAAAGACATTACCCCTTGTCCTGTCACTCCACCCCCTGACAGAGTCCCTCCCCAGATTTTCTGTAGCCCCCCCTTTAGGTACTGGCCACTGTAAGGTCTCTCTGGAGCCTTCTCCTGTCCAGGCTGAACAACCCCAACTCCTTCAGCCTGTCTTCATATGAGAGGTGCTCCAGCCCTCTAAGCATCCTCATGACCTCCTCTGGACCCATTCTAATAGGTCTGTGTCTGTCTTGTGTTCTGGGGGCCCAGAGCTGAACACAGTGCTCCAGATGGGTTCTCACAAAAGCAAAGTAGAGGGGATTCAACCTTTGATGCAGTCCAGGACACATTTGGCTTTCTGGACTGCAAGCACATGTTGCTGGCTCATGTTGATTTTTTTAATCAACCAACATCCCCAAGTCCTTCTCCTCAGGGTTGCTCTCAATCCATTCTCCGCTCAGCATGTATTTGCGCTTGGGAGCAGTTGTTAGTAGCAAACAGCACTGAATTACACAGCTGATTCCAGAACACAAAAGAATTAGTTACCCCACTACTTTTCACCTTTTTAGATTCTTGTGTAGTACAAAATATCATGAACTTGATTCCTCAGGACATGAAATTCACACTATGCTATATATGCAATCCTGTTCAGAAGTAGAGGAAAAGCGAACTCTGCATATTTATTAGCCTCCTCATTTTCCAGTAGACATTCCTTTTAGAGTGTCTGTATGTGATCAGAATGTTTAAACTTAGAAAGTTTTCATCTTTTTTGCCAGGCTGCCATGAGTGACAGGTACTGAATAAAGCCACCGTGAGAACTTACCTTATCACAAAAAGGTCTGACAGAATCAAAGGATAAGTATCACCTTTTCAGTGCTGTAGCCACCCCATCATTTATCTATATCTATTGGATAATCTCACTCTCTTCTCCTAGCTTTGCTTCAGAATGTTGTTCACAGCACTGTCAGCTTCTTCTGAGTGCCTCCAAACTAAAATTGTCATTCCAAGTTAATGCAGATCAGCTTTAAATTTTTATATTATATTTTATATAATATATATATGATTGTATGTTGTGATCATTATATGTATTGTTTATTATATATTATATATTTCATATATTTAATATATTTCATATTATTTTGTCTTTAAGAGATCACCACATAATCTGAAATCAAGCTAACTGAAAAATTTTCAGCAAAACTGGATTTTTATCAGAGGAGTGGCAGGCCCAGCACTTTAAGTTCTTCTGCAATCGTAAGTGGAATTTCTGATGAAGGGAGATGTGGCAAGGAAGGAACAACCCCAAGAATGTTCAGTATCTCAGTGCTCAAATACAGCTGCCATTGACCAGAAGAAACAGAGTTGGAGCAATCCGGAGATGAGATGATTGCCCTTCCTATTTACCTATGTGGAACAGGAAGGACAAGCCAATGACTTTATGCAATGTTGCAATGTTCCTGTATGACCTTAAGCAAGTATTTGTTCCTTTCTCTTTCAATTTTTCAACAGACAACAAATGTTTAATGTCATAGAGCTGCCAAATTCATTAAAATATACAGGCTGTGGTAAAGCTAACCTGACTGGAGCTTTTTTAAACAATAACAAAAGTGCTTGAATAGAAGAGGCTATAAAAACACTCTGTGCATCTATACTTGTACACAACGTGTGTATCAGCTGTGAAACTCACCCAATATAGCAACAACTTCGTCATCCTGGATTACTTCCAAAGACCCTGAAACCACAAAGCAGAGGCTGTCGACACTCTCGCCGGCATGGTAGATCAGGTCTCCTGGGGCACAGTGCACTGTCTGAAACTCCATGGCAAGCGCTCGAAGGCACCCATCGCTCGCCAGCCTGAAGGCTGGGTGCTCCTTGAAAACTTTACGGTTCAGATGCACGCAGATATCTGCTCTCATGTCCTTAGGGCATATCTGCAAAACCTGAAAAGGAAATTGGGCAATCAATTCCTGTATGTGGCTTAAAAGTGCCACATGATTATCCCTGTTTTACTACACAGGTTATGAAATGCTTTTCTTCCCATAAGACTTCTAATCTCAGTCCATATTCCCATTTCTATAAGTACACATGTGCCACAATACTCGGTCTACTTTACAATACCTGAAGGAAAATAATGTTTTCATCTCAGCAACACGCTCTGCTGGATATTGAATTACCCTGATAAGGCCTCACGTTTTTAAGACAGAAAAAAATGAGCTGTACATCAGTACGGGAAGTGGTGGAAAAGAGCCTGCTGAAGGGATCACTTCTAGTGGGTAGGTCTCTATTTAGATAGATATATTCTATGAAAAACCCGCACAAATTTTCCAAGTGTGAGAGCAGTTGTATAGAAAAAAAGTATAATCTCATAACCCTTTACAAAAAAAATAAAATAAAATATATTGCTAGTTTCATTAGCTCATAATATTGAGGTTTGCAGGTAGGTGTTCAAATTCACCTCCTCAGTGGCAGTACCAGATTATTTTTTTTTCTCACACAAGAAGGGACTTTAAGGTATTATACCGTGTTGCATGACTTCTGGCAATTGATGATGTGTGTTCCCAAGGGTACATAAATCAATGCTTAGCACAGTGGTGCCAGTCAGGACTATTTCTGAAGGTTTTTAATATAATACAGAAAGCTGAGTGGAAAGAATACAGAATCACTTCTACATGCACAGATTAAAAAGTTCCTGGCAAAAACTCTGGAAATGCATGAACATGAACAAGGATGACAAAATCCTTGGAAGATCAAGACTGTGATGAAGTACATCTCGAGATGCATTATTTGCAAAAAACTTTCTGAGTAGTGTGAGTCTGCCTCATTTTTCCCCAGTAATAACTATTTCATCCAATTAAGGAACACCCTGGGTGAGCTTCAGATTTACTCCCACACATTTTTCCTGGATGGAAGGAGATGGCCGCTTTGATGCAAACACTCCTGGAAAATATGAAGGTAACACATGAAGCACAATGGCTATGCCTACACCCTCAGTGAGGCTCTGTGTGATCTCTGAGCAAAGAATTAAGCTGATAACTGCAAAAGGCCGTGGTACCAGGTGTTAGGCCTGCTACTCCAAGAGCAAATGGCTCTACCACTGCTAAAATCATCTTTAGCGCACCTTCAAGAAGACCTGCTATATATCACTTCTGAAAGGGATATTTCTATAGCAATTTACTGTAGGTCACTCGTAGATGATCTCTCTCACCCGCCCTACAATGAGCAGCCCCCAAACCTGCCAATTCTCAGACTTCAAGGCTCACAGGAATGGGTTGGGACAGAAAGACCAGCATTAAACATGGAACATAGGCAGTATGGAACATAGGCAGTGGCCATCGCTGTCTTTGCAATTACCTCATTTATTCTGGCAGCAAAAACATTCTGTATTTGTAGATGCTTGCCAATATTTGGCACCAGAATTATACACAAGTACACTTCACAGTCATTTGAACATCACACACACAAAGGGCTGCCGTAATAGAAATAGTAATAAGAAAACCTGAATATACAAGAGAACATTTAATAAGAGACTCTTATCCAAAAAGCTCTTGGTTTCTCATTCTAAGAAGAAGTTAGCTAATTTTCCATTCTCCATTTAAGAGAAGTTGTTTCCAGACTTCATAAAAATAATGAGGAATTAAACACATCTGAAAGTTACAGGCAAACAGCAGGAGATTTTCATTTATATGGGAGGTATAAACCAGAACATCATGGCTTAATTTTAGAATCTCAGCAGCTCTTGGTTACATTTTGTTGTACTGGCATATACTAGACTTACAGACTTTGCTTTCAGCTGATTATTCACTCCTTGGCATGCCTGCAGTTAACACTGAATTGACAAATTTGTGCCCTACAAAATAGTGTAAAGATTGGTTCTGTGTTAAATTCATCTTTAAATATCTGCCTTACCTGTAGAAAACTGCATTACATTACACAGAGGCACAACTACCACTGTTCTGTCGCAGGAACAATACATGTTTTATTCATTGCATGGCATCCGAGGAGTTATACATAGGCATCAAACCAATGGAGCTCAGACCCGAGCGTTTACGGATTGGCAGAGCCATTAGTCAGACTTACATTGTGTTGGCTTTTGCAATGCAGATGAAAGTTGATTTCTTGGTTTTACGGTCATCACCACTGGCAGTTCAGCTATGCACACACCGGTTATTGAAATCAACTCTGTGGAATATGCTCTTTGATGCTTTGATAATTTGAGACTTTTTTTTTTCTACTTATTAAGGTAATTTTCAAAGGCTACAGTGAGTTGTGCTTGGTTTGGTTATCCTGCTGTGTCCAAAGGCATTCCTAAAGCAGTTCTCCTCTTATCAGAGGAAAACAAGAATGGACTTTGAAGATAAGCTAAAACAAATTTGTTTTACATAGCAATTTTTTCTTGTTGCTACATTAAAATGATGATAGAAGCTTGTATTGAGGAGTGAATGAAAGCACCAGCGTTCCTTACACTGTGTATCTTCAGGTCTTGTCTCTCCACCTTCCCCAAATGTGCCTACCTTGATGCTCAGAACCGCACACAAAGACATTTTGTGGGAAAACACACAGAGCAGCTTCTAATCAGCACTATCTAGCACTACAATACCATTTATTTCTGAAAGCTGGTGTTAGAGTGCTTCCCAAAATCACAGTCTGGGATCTAAACAGCAGATATGCTGAAGACCACTGAGGAAAGCAAACAGTACCTCCTGTACCCAGCAGTCTCCAGACAGCACAGTGCAAGGCCACATCTGCTCTACTCTTCCCCAACGACACTTTAACAACTAGACAGAAATGACTTTGTTTGCTCTTTAACTCCAGCATCTACAGGTCTGAATACAGAAGTAAGCAGCCAAGCAGGAGGCTGGTGACTGGAGCACTGGTCTGATTTCCTGAATGCACCACCTCCCAAACTACATCTCTTCACAAGCAGAAGAAAAACAGTATCTGTCTCCATAAAAGCTGGCAAATAACAGGAGAGCAGAAAGTAGTCGCTTTGCACATTTGTTCTGGTGAAGGGCCATTTACTACATTAAAAAACACAATGGGAATTTTACTTGTAAATTCAGTGAATTAGGATGAAAACAGTCATCTCAAATAAGGTAGCTTTCAAACAATACATTATTATTATTAATGAAATCTGGAAGTTGCTATTGTATCTCTAATATTCCAATCAAATTCTACCAAGACAAAACAATTTATACTTCGTATTCAGGCCCACATACCTGCAAACCTCTTATAACAGAAAAATTGCATAAAAATCTCATTGGAAGAAAATCTGAGGCTGTGTTAGAACTTGAAACTTACTTAGTTATTTTATTTATTTTCTGAAAAGCAAGCACTTTCATTTGTTTTTATAGTACTTCATGCCATATCACCAACAACACATACGCACTTTTACCACCGATGTAAGTGGTGATATGACAGAATGGCTGAAATGCTGTAGTTGAGAGTTTACAATGAAGGGAAGCTGCTACCCAGTACTATTTAAAGAATATTTGTCGTCTTTACTAAGGAAGTACCTCCTGTTTATTTTAATGCAATGCTTTCAGGATGTGAATTGTTTCCTTGTAGTTTAATTCACTTACCTTCTCAGTATCTATTCCTCTGGACATTGACCAGGTGGAAACAATGTAATCCATCACACGTTCACTCAGTCCTTTAGGGACCTGGTAGAGCTTTAGGAAGTCTCGGACACTGTTCAGCATTTCATGGTATCTGTTTGTATTAGCATACATTTGCTGAAATATGGTTGTCACGTTACCAAAAATGGTTGCATACAGAAGGGCTGAAAAAAAAAAAAAAGAAAAGAAAGAAAATAAATAAATAAAAAATATAAAGAAAAACAATAGGTATAATATAATACGTTGTGTTGATTAGCCTATGTTCCAATGTGCTGTAAAAGACAAGAAATGCCAAGTCCATGGAAAGGAATGCAATTTTGGTGCTTCGTTAGGGAGGCCTGATGAGCACAAGCATTTTTTGCAGGTCAGACTTAGCATTACAAGCAGATGACCTCCGCCTGCTTTTGTGATGACAAGTCCTGCAGCACAGAGTTCCCGAAGCACAACTATTTGTCTTTGTCCATCAAACAATTCAGTAGCATCCAAACCCTTACGGAACCACAACAGAGGAAACAAGAATTTTGAGACAAATAGCTTGACAGCAGACACTTTAAAATTTCATCTCTGGTTTATAGTGCCTGTGTTGAAATGCCATCAGTGACAGATTCCCAAGCTCTAAGTGCATTACCACAGTAGTAAGCCGAGTCATCATTACCCACCTCGGTGTGACAACAACAATGCATCAAAGCAGAAGATGGAATATGTAATAAACAGCTACCATGGGTCAGTGATTTATAGATGTAAGTTTAATAATACATAAAAACTCACATTATGTTTTATATTCTTCAGGCAGAAGAACAGCAAGGCCTGAGGCGAGAGCTAAAGCCCTCAAACGCAGACCGCCACGCTGCTCTTCTGACTGCACTGGGCACTGACACAAAGCCAGCCAGTGAATCAAAATGTGTATAATAATGAACATAAGATAGAAAATAGGCAGTATTTCCAGTAGTGGAAGGAAGTAGATGAAAAGGCACAAGGCTCAAGGAAATCCACCTTCCGAAGGGCAAGATGGGACAGGAGGTTGGTGGCAGTCTTAGTGGTTGTGTTTTGATGTCTTGCAGAGGCTGGGGCTGGGGCTGTTTCAGCTAATCCAGCTCTGAATGAAAGGGAAGGACAGGAAACCTCACAGGGAGCTTTCCTGTGTCAGGAATCAGGCTGGCGATAAGCAGGTGAGAGGCTGAGTCTGCAGTCAGGGAGAGGAACAGTCAGACTGCAAACGTGCTGACAGCCACCAGTAAGTGCTCTGGCTTGCTGAGGACGTTCTTCCTCTTTATCATTTCCTGTCCCTTAAAACAGGCACTGAATTGTCAGTATCATACGTGTTCCACTCTCAGATAAAAATAAATAATTGAAAATCATATTTATTAAAAAAAAAATAGTTTATTGCCTTATCTAAACCCCCTTTTTTGCTGTTACTCCTTCCCTCACCCCCTTTTTTTTTAATATATATATTTCCTCATTCATTCCTTTGAGTGCAGTTATTTATTCAGGTCAGCATTGTAGTCAGATATCCATAAGCCAACTAAGATGATTTAGGGTTTTATGACCAACAACAACAACAAAAACTTTAATAACGTGCAGGAGAAGCTTACAGGACTGTCTTTTCCCTGATCATTGAGAGATGCAATTTAAAATCAGACTAGCTCAAGGTCTTCACACAGCTGTTCCTCTACAGAATTCCTTCTTAATGTTGTATAACTTCTTGATTTTCACGAGTTCCTGCTGAGACCAGCTCCCCCCTTTTCCCACTACCCCTCTGTACAGACAAGTGGGAGCTTGGACCTGGGGGCACTTGCCTGGCTTAGCACAGCTACCTCTTTGCTTCCTCAGTCCCCTAAACTGATCAGGATGCACTATGAAGTACTAACATTTGTATCCACAGTGCAAACTGAGTGAATTAAATCTGAACAAGGCTCTCAAGCCCGGTGGGCTCCATAACACCTCAGGAATGCTAGACAGGTTAAAGGCTGCACAGGAATCTCAGGTTTTAGCCAACCGCAGCTATTACTGTAGATGTAGATCCAGGGATTTTGCTATCAGAAATGGCACAAATAAAAGCAACTATTAAGAGGAGAGCAAGGTACAGAGTTCAGCTTTGAGAGACAATTCTAACAAATCCCGAACTCCTCTTTCAGGACCAATTCATCAGTCTGCCTTCAAGTGCCTGATGTGCTGGACAGCTGCCATATAACTTACTTGCCTTGGAGCAAATACAAAAACTGGTATTTAGACACACAGCTTGTACTTAAGTATCTTTGTCTCCAGTGGCTGCATAAACGTTTCAGGGATGGTCCTTGATTTTCCATGATTTTACTTATTTCCTAAAAGATTATCGCTAAGAAATCTTGGTCTGATGTTTTATCCTGTTCAAAATAAAGCTTTGTTACAAGGCACCAAACACCACTTCAGACACTTGTGCAGTTTTTGTATTGCAGCTGATGATTACCTTGCATTTTAGGGTAACAAGCTGCAGCATAACCAAGGTAAGAAAACAAAGGGCATTACCTAAAATAGCAAGCCACCATCTAACAACCCTGCTTAACATGCAATATCCATCCAGAGCTAAAACAACAATGGTCACTCAAACTACGAAAAATGCTAAAACTGCACTATTATTTTAGGATATGATTCTGTATCCTCTAATTATCTGTATAATTAAGCTATGAATTTATGGATATGATTACATTTGACCTAGAATGACCTGAATGTTCAGACAGGTTGAAAAGGCAGCTCTGCCTCAGCCCAATTCAGTTGGTTGGCATTGCAATATATAACCTTATCCAAGACATACACCTGGATAAAATATCTAAAAAAAGGCACTTTCTCATAGCGAGAGGCCCATATCAAGGTGTGGAATTTGAACTCCAGACCTGCTTTAGAAGTTTTCTTTCCACCTAGGAGGCTATTCACACCAAACCTCACAGACAAGTACACTTAAAAATTCCAATCTAAACTTCCCCAAATAAGCCCATCAAAAGAGACTCGAGCCTCAAAAAATGAATGTGAGTCAAGGCTGAAACACTGAATATGAGTCAAGGCTGAATATGAGTTTAGGTCTCTAACTCGGTTTCCACAGAGTGATACCTTCTCCTTCTTCCATATATGTCCAGAAAACTGAATTCCACATGGAGTTACAATGAAGTTAAAAAAGATCTTAATGCACAGTCCTAGATTTAAGTTAGATTACCTTTCTCCTAAAAATTCACTTCTTTTGGCAGGCTCCTGAGCTGTTTCTGCAGGAGAGCAAAGGAAGTCCATTTAAAGCCTTGGCTGAATCTCATAAAACAGACCTTCCCCTCGATTCTCAAGTGCAGCCTCACCAACTCAGACTTGCAGAAACAGATGGTAAGAAGGATTTACCCCTTACTTCATTTCAAATGTTTTATTCTGTTGAACAACAACAAGATGTCAGCTTCCTTTGACACATACATACAAAACCATGCCAAATAATTTTTTTTAAAAAGTAGAGAATATTAATAGGGACACAGGGACTAGCAACATATAGATTATTTCTCTGTTTAACTTCAATTTATGCCTGAGCTAAACCAAACCTGAAACTCTGATGCTATGAGTCCTGAAGAATGAAGAATGCTTCAGAGAAGAAAAAACAAACAGACTTACTATATACGCTCCTTAATCTATGAGTATTTTGTTTTAAAAACACACATTACCTTTCCCTTACTATGTCCTGTGTTGCCCTCTGTCATGCAGATGAAAACACGACCCCTGAACCACTGCTATTTACACAGACCTTTACCAGGTTCCCTACAAGAAACCAAACCAGGGCATCCAAAACGGTGCAAGTCCCACTGGTAGGATTCTGCAGCAGTGAAAGTCATCCAGAAACATCATTCTTCTGCCAGCCAATACAATGATGAAAACAGATGACAGTTAGGCATAGAGTCACAGGCAAATTCTTATCTGTAGGTTTCTAGGCCACCATACTTGTGGGCATCTGACTGTCTCATGTTCTGGCAGACAGCAAGACCTGCTGATTCAATGTCTAGGAATGTAATAGGCCTACTCCAGCAAAAGTAAAATGAAGGCCCCATCCGCCCCTTTACTGTCTAGCTACATGAAGCCTAAATAAAATAAATAAATAAATAAAAGAGGACATTTGATTCTTCATTTCAATTATTACAAGGTGAGCAATCCTAGAGCAATTTCCACTGCAAATTGCAGCTACGATGCTCCAGTATGACAATTATCTTGGCAAGAAAAATTATTGCTGCCTACATTAATTTTTCATTAAAAAAAAAATCCCCAAATTTACAATGCTTAATTTATCATTAGCTAACCACTTTATTACTATTAAAGACACATTAAAGCCATGGATATTTGCTGCCTAAAATTGGGTAGAGACGTTAGCATATTAAACATTGACCTTTTCCTGCAAAGAAATAGTTAGCTGTGTCCCTTTCCTTTCTTTCAAAGGAACAATGAAATGAATCCACTGCAATACATCACAGCCCCAGAAACTTCAGAAACAAACACTCTCCTCCCACAGGAAGAAAGTTGGGGAATTTACGACAAAACAAAACCTCGAGATCCTTGTTTCAGGACTGATTGAACACCGTGACATTAGACCGCTGCCCTATAACAGTGACAGTGCAGGTCGTATGGTTTGATGTCCAACATCCAAAGGTCCCTGGAGCTGTTTGCTGCAGTTTGTGGAGTTGTCTTATGAACTCTGTAGAAATGATGAGTTCTTTAGTAGTCCTATGTGAAAGGGACAACAGAAATAAAGAAAAAGGACTGGGGGAAAGGAGGGGAATGCCCTCGCAGGGCATGGATTTGACTCAAGCAAGGCCACAAGTGTGCCACATAGGAAGGTCGCAAATTAATTTGACCCTAAAAGCTTCGTTGGATGCATCACTGGAAGAAGGCAGTGCAGTGGCTTTTGAGAAGCAGTGTCTAGGAATAAACCTGTTGTGACCATGTCTACACATAGACCAAGGAGAAAGTATCTTCTGCAGAACAAGCAAAAACCTGTTCTAGCACTGCATACAGAGCTGCAGCACATCAAGCAGAGAGCAAACACCTCCTCTCCATGAATGTCGGGATCCCTCAGAAAGAACAGAGGATTTTTTCTCCCCACCAAGACATAAATATTCTTTTCTTACAACAGATAAAGAAAAACACATTGTCCTCAATAATGTGGCCA